TATGGTGTCCATCTCCCACGCGTGTGTTCATTAAATCATCGTTTGACTTGACCCGGCCGGACCAGTGTTGTTATTTTGGTTTTCCTCTTGTATCCATTCCCAATATTTGAATCCGTAACACCCTCATGTAGTGCAGCTTGCAGAAAGGGGTCCTTAAGTAAACAAGTTCACATAGTTGAAGCACTGAAATCAATAACTTATCTCTTTTTTTTCAAAAAGATAGTATTATAATAATTCAGGGTACAACAACATACTACACACTCATTTACAATGTAAAAGATCGTCTTTAATGATAACTGACTAATTGGCTTTTTGACTGGAGAATTACACTCCCTTCTCTGGTCACTGTATTAGGTAACCTGTGCCAGTTGGTTGGTTTTCATGGGGAGAAGAGGCGGGAGGATCACTGATGGAGAATCAACTAAAGCACCAGCGGTTGTGAATTTTTTACTCACTATGTGTTTATCCATCTCTCTGCATTCAATTATTAGTTATTATTAATCTCTCTTCCACAGCGTGTCTTCGTCTGTCTTCCTCCCCTCATTCACAGCAGATGGCCCCGCCCCTCCCTGAGCCTGGTTCTGCCAGGGGTTTCTTCTTGTTAAAAGGGAGTTTTTCCTTCCTACTTTCTCCAAGTACTAGCTGAAAGGGGGTCATGTGATTGTTGGGGATTCTCTGTAATATTGTAGGGTTTATGTCTTACAATAATAAGTGTTGTTACTCACTGGTAGATCCAGTTTGGTGTCAGACATGGAAGCATTGTTCCAGGAAACAAATATTTATATGAATGTTTCCTGGAGTACAACATCTATTACATAATGTTACCATTACAGTGTTTCATGAGAACCAGTGTCCAAAACAACCCCTTCATACGCGCGCGCGCACACACACACACACACACACACACACACACAGAGCTACTTTTTGTACAATGCTTAGTCTTTTGCAGTGTTGTGAGTCTGCATCGTTCTGTTTTTGCACACTTGCACTTTATGTCGTCCAGTGTTTGTCTGTCGTAGCACCACAGTCTTAGAGGTTGTCTCCTTTCCCTGTGTACTGTACCTCTGCACATGGCTGCAATGACAATAAAGCCACCTGACTTTGACGCCTCACATCAATCTTGGTTGACGACTTCTGTCTGCGGTTGCCTCACAGGTGTCAGATTTCAACAGTGTTATAGTTCACCACAAGGTGGGTCCAGTGAGTAAGCTGCCAGTACGCCCTGTACTGAAATCAGAGTGAAACTGTCAAATCTGAACCCCTGATCGTTTTTAATGAGTAAGAATTTCACTGAAAGTGTAAAAATGCATCAGCTGATAGACAGCAGACTTTATCTGCTTTCATTCAGATCAAACCACAAATCATGGCCGAGCTGACCGAGCAAGCCCAAAAGTGTGTGCTGTGTTAAGGTCAGGGAGGAGGCTGGGTGAGACTTGAGCTCCATTTATAGAGAGAGAAAGAGTCCATGTGAGCTCACACATGTGCCACCACATACTGCCGCCGCAGTGGCACGAACATCGAGTTTGAACGTTCTCCTGTCGGGAAGAGGAGGAGCAGAAGTGTGAAACAGATCAACTTCAGGTGGAGAGCAGCTTGTAAAGTAAGTCATTCTGTGTTTTCACCTCACGCTGCCACGTGCAGTGGAGCTTGTGCTTGATGAATGTGGACCACGTCTTTGTTTTTAACTGTTAATATTGTTCAGTCGTTCCCACGTGTCCTCTCTGTGTCCTCATTTTAAAACTGCTGACAGTAAAGAGATTTTTGTTGGCCAATCAGAAAGGTCTTTGAAACATGAAAGCAGGCTAACAGCATTAAAAGAAACACCTCTGATAGTGATCAGAAACATCGAGTGGAGACCACAGTGGACACAGCACAGTTCCAAAAGCATGGCAGTTATTTAATGCTGGGCTCGTCTTACTGACCACTCAAGGTCCTTTAAGTACCACACTAAGCAGTGTACAAGCTAGAGTACTTCACAGGCACACTGGGACTATGCAAACCCCACGCGGACAGGCTGCGAGCCAGGAATCTTCTTCATGTGAGGAAACAATTCAAACAACGCACCACCGTTCTGCCACGCCACATCTGGTTAGCTTATTTTTGCTCTTTTCCCATCACGCAGTCTAATTCTCGCACATTAAAGTAGCTCTGCAGGTCATCATCTGTCTGAAAAATGCTGTTTTAGCCCTTCGTCTCTTTTAAGGACCCCTTTCTTCTGATTGGCTGCCCCTCAAAAACATAAGGTTTGAACAGCAGTGTGCTAATATGCCCACACTGTGACTTCATAAAGATCTAAGGCTGATCTGATCTCTTATTTGCAGATGTTGACACATGGACAGACCTACATCGTTACTTTCGCTGTTGTCAGGGTTAACGTTAGACCCAGGGTCAGTCTCTATGAAGTCCGTGTAATGTCCTCTAACGTGACGACACCCGATAGCTCCTACTGTGGGTCATACGAGGTCAAACTCCTCCTTCCTACCCCCTCAATAATTCCTTTTGTGACAGCTCTAAGGTGAAGCTCCACCTGCTTTTTTAAAATAATAACATAAATATAGAGACCCTCAAACAGGAAAGCATCCTCGCACGTCCCCACTACCACGTGGAACTGACCACAACCACGCACACTGCAGAACTGCCAGTTTGTTTAGTGCTTGATGTTTCATGCCCACGTGCTCTTCATCACCTGTCACAGGACCAACAGCAGGAATAACCAATGAAAACAACATCTTATGAAGCACAATCAGCTGAGAAAGCTACAAGTAATAAAAGTAAGGAAATAAGAATAATTAAATGCAGTCACTGGTGGTGGTCACGTGACCTATATTTAAGCTAGCGCTGTCCTGTGTTTCATTGGCTGATGAAGAGCACAAACTGCAGCTCTGCAGTGTGAACAGAGTTGATTGTTTCCACACTGACGATGGTGCACAGGAGTCCAGATGGATGATATAAAAAAATGTACCCTTTAAGGCGGGACGACTAGGCAGCACGGTGGCACGGTGGTTAGCACTGTTGCCGCACAGCAAGAAGGTCCTGAGTTCAATTCCAACATCAGGCCGGGGTCTTTGTGGAGTTTGCATGTTCTCCCCGTGTTTGCGTGGGTTCCCTCCGGGTACTCTGGCTTCCTCCCATCGTCCAAAGACATGCAGCTTGTGGGGATAG